CCTAAACTGCTGCTTAGCACGTTTCTTTAATTCACTATCAATATTAAAGCATACATTTAGGAGGCATTTCCGCCCCAACCATGTACATGTATGGCATTGGTATTGGTGTGACTTTTGAATTGATTTTATCGCTCCATTTTAAACTAATTTGAAATTTTAAAAATTGCCTGCACATCAGCATCAAAATACCTTTCTAATGATATATAATTGTCTATACCTTAAAATTATAGTTTAGCCGTAAAAGGGGTGTAAAGGAAACATGATTGCCTATTTATATAATGATTTTATAAGGGACATTTTTATTTTTCATATTCTGCGTTTAAAAATTACCTCTGAAAAATGCAGTGCCGATTGAAAGGACAGTTTAAGAAATAAAGGACAAAAGGTGTCCTTTATTTTGAAAAAATGTATAAAGGACAGGGGGTTAAAATAAAGGACGGATGGTCACCGTACTTATACTAGATAAATTAGCCAAAATTGTATAAAAATCGTATACTATTTTACTAAATTAGCAAGATGTCTGCATCTATCTGGATTCCGTTAATAAGGCGATCAACCTTTACTGGGTGTAACTTTAGTTCCGTAAAAGACATCTCGAGAGTTCGTGCCCATTCTGGCTAAACGATTGGTAAAAAATTTAAAAAAGAAAAACTATGATATAATGTAACAGTTTAGTATTAGGAAAGCATTCTAAAAATAAGTTGACTGACATCAGCCACAAAAACTATGTTTAGAGGCGATCTGAATACTTGATTTAAAACCATTTCAATCGATGATATTAGATGAATGCTTTAGAGAAGGGCTGGCATCCACATACCCTCAATATGAGAATGTAAACATGTATTTATCAAAAATAATAATAATGTATGTGAAATTCCGCTGAGTATAATAATGAAATTAGTTAAAAGCAAATTCCAGCTAGTAATACATAAATATTTACACCCAGGCCTAGATGTCTATGAATAGTTGAGTCATCTTATACAAATGCAGCTTAAATTTGAGTTATTTACTCGAACAATAGACGCACCCTGCCCACAAATATGCGGTTGTGCCAACACCAGAAGTCTTATTATGAAAATTGTAGTGTGTTTAATAATATCCGAAATGACAGCTCCTTACAATTAATTACATACATATGTATATGTATGTACTTATCAGTATACATATCAGTAGTAAACACTATCATTACGAATACTAAATAATAACTCAACAAGGCATACAATCATCTATACACGCATACATAAATATATACATAGGTAATCTATAACACATATGTACATACGTAGGTGTGCCAGGTGCGTACATACACTGAGAAAAAGGATTAGTTTCGACAACTAAAGATATTTAGTTCCCGAATTTTGACAATATTTGGGAACTGTTACCAAGGATTGGGAACTATTACCATCGATTGGTAATTATAACTAAATATATTAAAGCTTCTAATATTCATCTAGGTTGTAACAAATCGTTAATTTAGTTGAAGGGTTTGGTTAATACTAATAAATATTTCTTTGAAGCATATTTCTACAAATTCCATTCAACTTAACGTATGGTTCATAAAAGGATGTTATTAAGCTCTGCTAATGCAGATAAGCTTTCTTTCAACACGTGGTTTAGTCATAGTTACCAAATCTTAGTTGAGGCAACCACGATTTGGTTTGAGAGTGGAACATATTCATGCTTATGAGCCACCCCTAAAGAATGCTGAGCGCTCTCTGAGCACATACGAAGAGCGCCAGCTGAGCAATACATACAGTCCCACTTATTGAATCGTTTGAATGCGCTAGTATGCCGACCATTGCATTGTGCGTGGAAATCATTGCTCCGCCACCGCTGTTCGTATATGGGTGAAACACGCATGTGGTCCCAGAGCGCTCAGTAAGCTATGGCATGTCGATCGCTGCGCCATGTGTGCTATGACATGCCCATACTTGTTTGTCACAGTTTCAGTTTTGCTATCATCGCGGGTTGTTTCAGTGCGCGCATAGTTTAAAGTTTAATTAAAAATATAAAGTTTGATGCCAACCGGGGGTTTTCAGTGGATATATAATTCATGTGAATTATAATTTGAAAGTGTCTATTTAGCTAAGGAAAAAGCAAGGCAGTATACTTCCAGCAGATATTGACCTGGGTTTTCGCACGACTGTTCCTGTTTCATCGTTCTTTTTTAGGAAATTCTTACCACCATACACATATGTATTATTTACTTTAGTAACTAACTTATGTAAATATGTACGTATTTTTATGCTTAATATATGCAAATAAAAGAAGAAAGTAAACACAACAAACATCGAGTAAATTTTTATTTGTGTCAAACTGAAACTTTTTGCCCAATAATAAACGGTTAGCTAATTCAAGTCTACGGCAAGTTCACAAAATTAATTAAAAACTTGTATCAACCAAAGCATTGTTTATATTTGCTCAACAATGATTTTATTCAACTAACAATATTGTCCAATCAAGGTAGTCGTTTTGTAATTATTAACAAATATACATTTGTCCCAACTAGAAGTTTTAAGTAAATTGCAGACTTTCGTGAACTATATATTTATTTCGCCATATCCAACTATGCCACTTGATCACTATAACCAAATCTTGGTTATTATAACTAAACCTTTTTCTGGGTGTAGAGTAAAGAGATTGTACAACTGTTAGTTAGGTCGATACTGCAGACGTGGGTTGACAAGTGCCTTTTGATAAATGAATTGTAAATACTCCTAAAATATATCTACGTTTAATGGAAAATTGCATGTATTTAATGGACAATCTTTTACCACTCTTGCACCTTCTCAAGTTGAATGACAATTATTTCAAGAATATACTGGAATATTTCCAAAGCGGACAAAAGTTTTACTTAGTCACATTTATTATTATAGTAGGTAGATCTTGTGATAGAGAAGCCAAGGTAATGTTTGTCGGCAATAAATCATTTGTTTTAACAAATCATAAATGAGTAGTAGACAAAGAGCAGAAAATTTAAATTAAGTTTAAAATAGGAAAATCCGAATCTTTCGATAACTTCTCAAACGAGGAATTATTGGGGCTTCTGAACTCAGTCTCAATTAGTCCTGGCATATATCATCGAATTTCCAATCTTTTGAACTCAGTGTCCGAGTGATAGCTAAGTAGGTTTCAGCGACGGAGTCGAGGAAGGCTAAAAGAGAGGGTGGGAACTCGTGATTTGCATATTGCGGTAGGTACCCACAATAAACCTAAACTATACACACTCATACTTTACCCCTCAAAGAGACAGGTACTCTTCCATATAGTCATGTATATTTTCTATTTTGCAGTATGTATGTATGTGAAATTGTTAGTTATACCAGAACTATTAAGAACAGGGGTTCAGAACGGAGCGGAGCTAAAACGCAAATAAGTTTGGCTCGAGCGGAGCTGGAGCAAAGAGCTAAAACATTAATTTGCTGCTTAGTAAATTATTTTTTTTTTTTATTCATTCTAAGCATATATACATATGTATGTATATCAACCCATAAAAGTACAACATATGTGAATCAGTTAATTACCGAAGGGAACCATTTCAACGGAGCTCCTTTAAATGAACCGAGCTGCATCAAACTTTTCATTTCAAGAAAACGCTGACTTGAATGCCGTTTGTTACCTAGCCGATTTACTTAAAACCTGCAATTTTACAAATTTAAGATTGTGATCAATAGCTTGTAATCAGGAAAAATACTAGTTTACAACTAGAATTTCCTGACTGAAACCGAATTAGTTCGAAAATTACCAGACTTGTACCAAGTAGAAAGCGATTTATTCTTTATTTTGGGTATATTGTATACCATTAAAGCGAGTACATATTCAATTTTACCAGACTTGTCAAATAATGATTAATAATCTTAATGATTATTAATTAAAGCATGATTTTTGGGATAACCGTTTAATGATTAAATACCAATACGAGCACCTTTTTAATGAGTAATAATTAATTAAAAATTGTTTATTTATTAATTTATTTTAATTACATTATTATTTTGTTATTTTTGATCATTTTGATTAATGTCAATTAACCACCGAAAAGCCAAACTATAGACAAAAATTAAGAATATTTAATAGCTCATGAATTAAAATTTTAAAAAGAAAGGGCTGAAATATGTAAAGTTAATCAATTTAATTTAATTTAATGAAAACTTTTATTTTTATTTAAGTTCAGTCGAAAATTAACTAAAGTATTTATTTTATTTTGAACTCAAATGTTTTCTATTGCATATTTAATATTATTAAGAAAAGATAAAAATATAACATTTACTGAAAAGTGCATTAAAGACGTATCTATTTTCCTTTAATTTATACTCAAAAAGTTCAAAATTAATTATTGACAAATCTAAAGCTGCTAAATAAAAATGTGTAATATATTAAAGTGTAATTAATCAAAAGTCTTTTATTGTATATTCATGAATTAATTTTACTTTTTAACTCCCAAAGTAGTGGTATTGGTCCATAATTGGACTAGTATTTTTCTGTCTATTTTGAACTAGTATGAGCCTGGTCTATTTCTGACCGAAATCTGACAATTTCCAGCTCGTAGGACATCCCCATGTTAAAAATACCAGTTGATTGCATGGAAAAAAGATAGTTGGCTGACTAGTTGGGCATGCGGTTCATACTAGTTGTGAAGTAGTTTACAACTACTACATTTCACTACAGGGAGATATAGTCGAATTACGGATTTTCGAGATCTGATTGCTATTTTCTTTGGATGTAAGTGGCCAGTCTTAAATTTCTGTTTTAGTAGAGGCTATTAAATTTGCTATCATCTGCGTCAAAGAGATTTTCAACCGGATAAGCAATTTAAGAGTTATACAATGATTTATCGACAAGTTTGCATAATAATAAAAAAAAATCCTAAAATGTTTACTTTCGCTACATCAACATGAAGAAAACTGCTGTTTATCTAAATTGAACTATAAGTGTAGAAGCACCTAAACAAAAATACAACCAAATGAATATAAAACGTGTAAACGTTATATGAGTTTAATTACCTGTCAACGGTGAGTATATGACCATCACGAACTCGCACCCAGGACACTGATTTGTTGCCGAGCTGCTTCACCTGGAAATAAAATATACAAAATTGAGAAAAATCATTAAATTTATATATATTTATGTACTTATATCCATGTTCAAATGTATGTATGCATATTTTGGTATCAATTTCAATTGTTCCATAATTCAATATAAAACCGTATGTATGTATGTATGTACATTATAATGGGTCACGTAAATACACTTAATAATTAACCAACTCTCGAGTCACAAGGTAGAAGCAGTCAAATCGGGTTTGCTTTGTAGCACCTTTATTATGGCCCGATTCTAAATTCTGGAAAATCGCTGGAAAGATATCCTTCAAGTTGGAGTTGAAACAACTCCGCCTACCTTACTAAATACATAAATAATATTCGTGTACATGTGTACAATGTACACTGTACATATCGTTAGCTTGGAAAGACCCTAACTAATATTTTTGTTTCTTTGAAGCGTAATTATACAACTATATAAAAACTAAATTTCTTATTTCCTCAAAGCAAAGTTTTTTAATAAACACTGAAACTAGTCAATGTTTTTATTCTGTTATGCAGGGACCGTAATCATTATGAGTTTTATCAAAAAAATTAACTTTTAATCATTATGTTGAGATTTTAATACTTGCGATCAATCATAATAATCACATTTTGAGTTTTATTGTATTGCTCAGAAAATACAATCATTTATTGAGTTATATTTTTTTTGATCAAAAATAAAACTCATTTTTCGAGCGTTACTTTTTTGCTCTGAAATAATAATTATCTTGTGAGTTGTTTTCTTTTTGATCAAAAAGTAATCATTTTATTATGAGTTTTATATTTTTCATCAGAAATAATCATTATTTTTCGAGTTTTATTTTTTTCATCAAAGATAATGATTATTCTTTGAGTTTTATTATTTAGATCGAAAATAAAACTCATTTCTTGAGAGTTATTTTTTCTCTCAGAAATAAGAATTACCTTTTAATGTTTTTTTTTGACAGATCGAAAAACTCAAAACGCCTTACTTCACCTAAACTCAACTCACCACATCTCAACTCACCACACCTCAACTCAGCCCACCTCAAGTCATCTCAACTCACCCTAACTAAAATTAATTTTATTTTTGATCAAGACGATATAACTCGATATATGATGTTTTTTTTTTGAGCGATTAATATAAAAAATGTTATTCTTAGTTATAATTTTTATAGAAATCGCTTAAACAATTTGAAGTCGTAAGAGATTCATACGGAGCATGAAAAAACTTGCACATTTATATACTTGAAATTGTTCTACGATATTTTGAACCTTTTGATTTTATTTATTGAAATTTTTGAAATAATCATTATTTTCGGTCCCTGCTGTTATGTCCTTAATGAGCAGTCTAACGAATTTTGTTTTCGAAATTTGTATTTCGAAAGAAAATAAGTTAACGCTAATGTAACGATATGTTCGTGTGTGTATGTAAGTTTGAATGAGCATATATGAGAGATTTAATTTTTACTTGCACTCAAGAGTACGAAAATTCTCCGGGCACTTAATTAAACGGCTGAAGTGTGCGGTACACCAATGCAATTACGTACAGATGTATGTATGTATGTACCAGTCATGGGCAACATTGTATTTACCATATACTGAGTACTAATTACAAATGTATTTAGGTATTATTTCACCGTGCGACAAAAACTAAAAGAAAAATCAAAACACAAGAAAGAATCGATACACTCACGAAGCTATCGGACAACATAGTAAAGCTGCGTTTTTAGTTTTTCACTCTGACGTCAGGATCTTTTTTCAAAGGACTTTGAAATTTAAAGATATAATTAATTCAAAAAAATATTTAAAAAAAATCAGTGTAGAATAACAATATGGGTACCAAATGAGAGATAAAATTCTGGGGGATTTTAAAACAATAAAGTCTTTTGGTTTACAAGGATGAATAGATATTCAAATCCGGTTTTAATAATTTTTTTTTTAAGTTAATAAAGTTTGCAGGACGAAATTCGGTGATGAGGTTGTGCGTATATTAGTCCTCAAACAATAATTAAATAAAAATATATATAGCAAATTTTCAAGGATATGTAAGGGCAAAATTTGTAAAGGACATTTTTTATACTGATTCCTCCTTATGGACCAAAAAATGTATTCTATTATAATTCTACAGAATTTTTTCTTTGATATGATACCCATATATTGCACTGAATTGTTTAAATAATTTCTTTAAATTATGTTTTAATTTTAAAGTCCTTTTAGAAAAAATTCTGACTCAGAAAGAAAAACTAATTCCGCAGTTTTACTATTATATGGCCATATTTTTACGAATATATTATTTTTTTTTGTGTAAAATTTACTGTCGCACGGTGTTTTCAAAGCACAAAATACTATTTAAGTAAAAAGTATGTAGTTAGTTCCACCAGACGAAGCACCACGTACAAAGAGAGTTTGAAGTCGATTACCACCGCATACTGAAGTAATTAGAAACTTAAACAACACTAAATACTGGATACAATAAGACTAAGTACTTATGACTTATGATAAGACCCATAATCAACTATGCATCTGTCGTGTTGTAGATCAGACTCTCAATCAGGGTTGCGTGATTTTGAAAAAGTTAAATCATAAATAATTTTTTTTTGTGATTTGATTTGACAACCAAATAAATAATAATTTTCTTTTATTTGTGATTTGCTCCATTAACCAAATAAGAAATCAAATTTATGTGTGGTTTAATTCGTCTACCAAATAAAGAATACAATTTATTTGTGATTTGAATTGTAGAGCGAATCAACTTGGTTCTTGATTTTTCAAGTAAATAATACTTTTTTATGCGACGCAAATACGCTTTCAATTATTTTCCAACTTCCAGGTGGCAGGTGGGCAGGTGGGCAAAACCCACGTTGCCCGCTCCAATCATTGAGCAGATGGGACTGCAGACAACTTATGGGATTGTTGACATGGCATAAACATCTGACTGTGATATGCATTAGGGCGGGTCGAAAAACATAAAATGTTTGATATGAAAATTGCATCTTAAAAGGTGATATTTTAATAACTTATTCTATAAAAGAAATCCTGGTTCTATACGACAATATCTTCAGTTTGCGGAATGAGAGTGGGAGTGCCAATGCTTTACATTTTTACAACGACTTATGTAGATCAAATCCAGTACTTATTTATATAAAACTATGCCTTTATAATCTTCTTTTGATAATTTTCAACCCAATAACACTTCTAAAAGCTTACGCACACTCCACCTAATATTTCAGTAAAAATATTTAATTTTAGCGTTACAATATACTCAACAAATATATATAAATACGCCAGAAAAATTGGCTCAGTGAAATGTCTAGCTTTGAAGAGCTTCAAACTACGCTTTTTTGACACAAGCACAATGTTTTTTTTTACATATACTTGAGCCATATATATGTAATAATTGAAATACTATTATCAGTTGTCGATGTTTAAGACAAAGATATCGCTATGTGAAGAGGTGTCCTCGTATGGACAGTGTGCGGCAATGGGTTAATTGCGTTGAGTTTGCATTAAGCATTAGAGAAGGGGGCGTGACACCTCCCATACAAACTGAACTTCTCATATCGCTTAGCCCTGGAACCGCTTAAATTAGCATCCTGAAATTTTACACAGCTACATGTTATTAATACCGTGCTCATGACGAAAAGCGGCAGGTATTGGAAAAGGGAGCATGGCACCTCCCATACAAACTGAATTTCTCATATCGCTTATTTTGCAGAAAATTTACCCAATGGATGGCGCTGCAGCTGAAATATATAGAAACCCTATGTGCTTGGTCTGCTTAAGTCCAATGTTTATTTTATACAAATTTACTTTTCAGATGGCTAATACGAAGGCTTACATTTTCACCCTTAATGCGATCTTGCGATCGATAACTGGAGGGTCGATGTTGCTCGGGGCGGCCGTTATTGGACCAGTAAAGTGCTTATAAGGAAACCTAAGTGCACAGGTGAGCGTTTTCCGTTAAAGGAAGGCCAAGAATGATCGCTTTCCCACAGGATGAAAAGTTTTCCCGTACATTGGCTAAATGAGGCGTGTGATCTCTTGAATATCGTTGAAATGAAGGATGTGGTCGAATCTTTCCTTTTCAATTCGCACTTTTCCAATTAGACTTAATATTTATGAACTGGTTTCTTTCAGTCTTAAAAGGTGTTTACATGGGGCGATTTTACAGGAAACTTTAGAGGCGATTAGTTGAATCAAAAGTTGGGTACCTCCCAACTTCAGTGGAAGCAATTAGTTGAACGGCGACGATTGCTGCTTTAAACTAAAAGTTTCCTGTAAAATCGCCCCATGTAAACACCTTTTAAGACTGAAAGAAACCAGTTCATAAATATTAAGTCTAATTGGAAAAGTGCGAATTGAAAGGAAAGATTCGACAACATCCTTCATTTCAACGATATTCAAGAGATCACACGCCTCATTTAGCCAATGTACGGGAAAACTTTCATCCTGTGGGAAAGTGATCATTCTTGGCCCTCCTTTAACGGAAAACGCTCATCTGTGCACTTTTGCATTTGTGTGATAGATAATTTCAAGGCGCATACCACAGATCGGAGGAGAATTTCGGTTAAAAAATTGCCAAAATATGTGGGCGCTAAATATTTATTATTCTACTTTTCTATCTTACAAGTACCTATTAGTGAAATAGGGACAAAAGTCGGCAGTATTAGCTTCTTAGGATGCGAAGGCCAACATAACTACGTTGCTTAGGTAAGAATTTTTGGCAAAAGAACAACTAAAACAAAACATACTTAAATCAAAAACCCTCTTTATTTGCTTAAAGAGTATTTCATTGTGTTCTCGTGTTATTTGTAAATTATTGCAGGTGCTGGCGCATACACCATAATTAAAACAGCGACTACAACAACAGAAACAACTTTAATATAACAGGAATTAACTTCATTTCCCTCCCGCTGCCTTTGTATCGGTTTATTATTTGCTGACAGCGAACCCGTAATTATCAGCAGAAGTCCTCCTCTATGTAATTCTTGCTGAACCACCAACATATTCA